TATATCATCAGCAAATAGCATACACCAAGGCACATCCCCTTGAATATGTCGGGTTAGAGCATCTATCACTAAGGCAAACAAGAGGGGGCTCAGCGCCGATCCTTGATGGAGCCCCATAACCACTGGAAAATGGTCTGATTCGCCACCCACCGTCCTAACCCTAGTCTTAGCTCCATTGTACATGTCCTTGATTACTCTGATGTAGGCCTCCGGCACGCTCTTCGCCTCCAAGCACCTCCATAGCACCTCCCTTGGGACCTTGTCATACGCCTTCTCCAAGTCGATAAGCACCATGTGTAGGTCCTTCTTCTTATCCCTGAATTGCTCCGCCAGCCGCCTGACAGGGTGGATAGCCTCTGTAGTGGAGCGACCCGGCATGAAACCGAACTGGTTCCAGATATAGATGACACCTCCCTCACTCGCGCCTCAATCACCCGCTCCCAAACCTTCATGGTGTGACTTATTAATTTGATACCCCTATAGTTGTTGCAACACTGGATGTCCCCTTTGTTCTTGTACAAGGGCACCACTGTACTCCACCTCCACTCATCCGGCATTCTTTTGGTCCTGAAGATCGCATTGAACAACCTGGAGAGCCACTCCCCTCCTGACTTGCCCATGCACTTCCAGAACTCCACCGGGATCTCGTCAGGCCCGGTCGCTCGACCCCTACTCATCCTACGCAAAGCCCCCATGACCTCCTCCACCCTAATGCGCCTGCAGTACCCAAGGTCTCTATGTAGCTCTGAATGGCCCAGCTCCCCTAGCTCTATGTTACGATCCCCCTCCTCGTTAAGTAAGTCCCGAAAGTACGCCTGCCACCTCTGCTTGATTTGAGATTCCCACATCAGAACTCTACCATCCTCGCCCTTGAATTCCAGTTTAGATTGTTAATATTTTTTATTTAATTAGCAACAAAGAAAATTCTATTAAGTGTTTGTTTCTTATGTATTATTCCATCATTTTTTGTATTATTTAAGTATGTTTTTTTCTAACAAACTTTAATCAAATTATTAACTTTTATAATATAGCTTATGATTACATTTTAGCTTATCATAAAATAATTGATATTTATCAAAAGTAATTCTTTCTAATCAATTTGTATTAAAAATAAAATGAGACGTAAATTATTTTGCATTTGAGTCAACTTAGAACTTAAAACCCTGTAAAAATTGGGTCTTTATTAGTGTAAACAACTTCAAGGGCAATTATGTTATTTTAATCAAAAAAGGTGTTTATCAACTATTTATTATCAGTTTCAGCACTTTTATCCAAACATGTAACTGCTTATTTTTAAATCAGCTAAGTCAAACAGGCTCTAACTGATAACCCACTATTTGCTCCCTCTATCCTGCGTAACAAACAAAAATTGTGCAAAATTAGGGCACACCGAGCTCACATCCACAGAGATTAGGCCATCGAAGATGAAGAAAGCTTCTTTGCGTTACTCTTGCAATGGTATTCAGTTTATCTCATTCTTTGCTACTTTCAATTCTGGTTTGGCATTTACAATCAGTGCTTATTCTTCATGCCATAGTAGTAGTAAGTTTAAGAATGTCAAGTGTTTTAGATGATGTTGCGACTCTCTTTCATAAAATGGTTAGAATACAACCTCTTCCTTCTGTTGTCGGCTTCTCTAAATTATTTAAGATTATGCTAAATATGAAGCATTACTCTGTTGTCACTTTTCTTTTTGGAGAAATGAAGAAATTGTCTATCCCATTTGATTGAGTCATCTTGAATAGCATAACAACAACAACAAACCCAGTTTGATCCCAATAGGTGGGGTCTGGGGAGGGTAGTCTGTACGCAGACCTTAGCGCTACCTAATGCAGGTAGAAAGACTGTTTCCAATAGACCCTCGACTCAGGAAGGACAAGAAGAAGTGGAAAGTAAGTAAGGATAAGTAGTACCAAATAATAGCAACGGGGAATACAATACCTGAGGTCATCTTGAATAGCATACTTAACAGTTATTGTCTGATGCATCGTGCTGATTTTTATTATTCGATGTTACCAATTTAATTGAAGAGTAACATTGCATTTGATGTTGTAGCTTTTAGCACCTTCTTATGGGAATCTTTGCTGAAAATAAGGTCAAAGAGGCAGTTGAATTGTTCAAAAAGTTGGCAAGAGAGAATATCTGTGAGCTAATGATAAATATGAAGCATTACTCTGTTGTCATTTCTCTTGTCGGAGAAATGTAGAAATTGGGTATCCCAATTAATGGAGTCATCTTGAATATCGTGATTAACAGTTATTGCCTGATGCATCGTGTTATTGTAGATTTTTAGTGTTACCCATTTACTTGAAGAATGACATCATTTAATGTTGTCACCTTTAACACCCTAATAAGTGGATTTTTAGCTGAAAATAAGGTCAACGATGCAGTTGAATTGTTCAAAAAGTTGGTGAGGGAGAAAATTTGTGAGCCCGATGAAGTCATGTATGCAATCACCATGAATGGGTTCAGCGAAAGGGGTCATAGTAAAAAAAACTCTAAGTTTGCTCTTTTTAATGGAACAAGGGAACAATAAGTTGTTGATAACCGCATCAGGCACATTCCTGTTGTTGATCACAGTGGTATGAGGTGTCCGCTGGAGATGTTGTCCGTGCTGTAGCAAGTGAGCTTAGGAACGAGTTGAACAGTGTAAATGCTTACATATGAGGAGGTTACTAGATGATGATAATAATAGGATCAAGCGCTTGATCTTGTATATATTTGCATGCTTGGTTCTTCTAGTATGTGTTTGTGCCTCTTGATGTGGACTACTTTTCTGGTTACGTGTGCTTATAACAGGGTGATTTTAAGACGGCAATTCCTTGAATCAATACAATAGTTGTTTCATTTGTTTTTTAGGGATTAATATTGAGATATACTCGAGCATTTTGTTCGTTGTTTACTTGTTTGAAAGATCTTATAAGACAGGTTCCAACATAGTAGGAAATGATATTCTTAAGGTTCCTAGTTATATTAACTAGTAAGGTTTCTTTTTTGAACAAAAATAATTGGGTTCCCTCTAATTAGTCCAAAATCCCCTTGAAGGGGTTAATCTTGTGTATATTTGCATGCTTGGTTCTTCTAGTGTTTGTTTAAGGCTCTTGATGTGGTCTACTACACTACTTTTCTAGTTACATGTGCTTATAACAAGCTGTTTTTAAGACGGCAATTCCTTGAAACAAAACAAACTGTGTTTTCGTCTGTTTTTTAGTTATTAATATTGACATATCCTCCAGAGCATTTTGTGGTTCTTTTACTTGTTTGAATGATCTTATATGACAAGTTCCAACATAGTCAGAAATGATCTTGTTAAGGTTCCTAGTTACATTAACTAGTAAGGTTTCCTTTTTGAACAAAAATAATTGGGTTCCCTCTATTTTGTTGATCAGACTGGTATGAGCTGTCCGCTGGAGATGTTGTTCGTGCTGTTGCAAGTGAGCATAGGAACGTGCTGAACCGTGTAAATGCTTACATATGAGGATATTACTAGATGATGATGGCAATAAATGAATCAAGGGCTTAATCTATTTGCATGCTTGGTTCTTCTAGTATTTGTTTAGGCTCTTGATGTGGTCTACTGCACTACTTTTCTGTTTACCTGTGTTCATAACAGGCTGTTTTTAAGACAGCAATTCCTTGAAACTAAACAAATGGTGTTTCGTCTGTTTTTTTAGTGATTAATATTGACTTGTTATCAAGAGCATTTTGTGGTTCTTTTACTTGTTTGAAAGATCTTACTGGACAGGTTCCAACATAGTCGGAATTGATCTTGTTAAGGTTCCTAGTTATATTAACTAGTAAGTTTTCCTTTTTGAACAAAAAATAATTGGGTTCCCTCTATATATCTTTGAAAATCCCCTTGAATTGTTTTGGTACTACCTTTCAATCTTTAGTATTTGACAAAAGAGGTGCCTCTTTCAATCTAAGGTTTGCTGCATTAATTCTTGAATGGGGTACAAAAGCACTTAAAATGTAGAATATATTATAACAAGGTTAATATTTGCAAGAAGTAGAAAATCCGCCAAGGATGAAATCAAAAATTCTTTTTACAATTTTCATTGATTGCTAGGCTATACTCTTAGGTGTTCCATGCGAGAATTTTCTTTTGTTGGAGACTTATTTAGGGATTCGGATGCACCTTTTAAGTTTCTTCAGTTCAGTTGTGTATATTTTTTATCATGTTCTTTATTTAATACATCCATCAAATTCATTTTTATCTCATTCTGAGAATACCATTCAATGGGTATTACCGTTCAATATATTCCTAAGGAAAAATGACAATGTATATTCATTGTAAAAATAATAATTGAAAAAATGTATAAAATTTGTATATTTTTTGTATACATATATATTTTGTATATTATATACAGAAATTATATAAATTTTACACTTTCGGTTACTAGATATAAATAGTTTCTGGTACGAGTTAAAAGTGATAATACCCCTATTCCTAAAGGGGCAAGTGCACAAGTATTGCTTGGACGGCCCTTATTTGAAAAATACCGAAGTTTATAAATATTTCTAAGTTTAGTTATTTCAAAATTAATTTTCACCCACAGTGTGTGAAATTTAAAGGACTTTAGACATACGAGTCTTATGTTGATCTTGCCAAAGCTTAGTTTTTGACGATAGGCATATTGTTTGTGCAGTTTGAATTTCAGACATTTAGGTCTTAAGTTAGGCTTGACAGTCAATTTCATGTGTGAAGTTCGAACTATCAAGCCTAGAGGCCGTTTAACTTAGCTGATATAGAGTAGATGATAAGCATTAGGTGTTAAAAAATATTTTTAAGTGTTAAAGTCGATTTAAAAAATAAACAGTGACATGTTTGGATAAAAGTGCTGAAATTAATAATAAACAGCTAAAAAATTGGATATACGAAGAGTTTTGTTTAAAAGAAGCATTTTAGGGATAAAATAGTAAATATTTTGGTCAAACATAAAGTGTTTATAAGCTGAAATTGGATAAGTTGAGGGAGACCAACTTATGACTTTTGGCTTATTTTTTGGCTTATAAACACTTAACTTATAAATATTTTTAATTTTACCAAACGCATAAATAAGCTAAAAAGTACTTATAAGCCAATTTAACCAGCTTATAAGCTTAGCCAAACACCTTCCTAACTTCAAACCCAAATGTCAGAAGTTGGCACAACATAGTTCATAAGTTGGTTAAAAATAAAGTAAAACAATTTATCATATGGTATAAACTATTTACAAATAATTCAGTTGAATAAATGTTTCTTTCATGTGTTTTTACTCTATCGTTTTAGGACACAAGCAACAAAAATTGGATTTAATAACTTTTTTAATAAATTGGTATATCTACCAGTTTTTTTAATCATGATATGTGTTTATCGATTGTGATTGTCTTGCATTGTTTTGGTACTTTTTTACCCAAGAAATATATTATTAAATTTAGAAAAAAAAAGAAAATAAGATACTACAGTGTAACGGAAACCATGACATACCCAAATTTTAACATCAAAATATCTAAGAGCATGTTTGGCCAAGTTTTGGGAAGCCATAAATACTTTTTTTTTTGTTAGAAAAAAGAAATATTTTTTCAGAATTTTGATGTGTTTGGCCAAGATGTGAAAGTGCTTTTAAGCAGTAGTAGAAGCAACTTTTCTACTTTAGAAAATACATTGTAAATTGGCCCAACTTCAAAAATTAACTTATTTTGAGAAGTATTTTTTTTTAAAAATTAAAACGGAGGCGGTATATGATTTATGAAGCATATTTTTAATTTGTACTAAATGATTGTATTTTCACATATTTGAATCATAATTTGACACTCAAAAGTAATTTTTGGGAAGAAGTATATCACTTTTCAAATTAAGCCAAGCGAGCTCTAAAATGTAAAATTAAGAGTATTTAAGCTAAAACTTTGAAAGGAAATGAAAAACTACAATGGAGACACTCAGCAAAATTAGGGCATGGCGAAATAGACATAACTTTCACTTTCTCTGGTAATTTCATTCTGGGAAGTCCACTGTTAGAGATTTCGTAGCTGAAGATGAGGAGAATTTCTAGCAATGGTATTCCCTTTCTCTCTTTCTTTGCTATTTCCCGTTCTTGTTCGGCAACTACTGTTAGAGTTTATTCTTCAAATCATAGTAATATGTCCATTTCGGCAAAGGCTATATTTGGGATAAATAGCAAGCTTGAGAATGTTAAGTGTTTAGATGACGCTGTGACTCTCTTCCGTCAAATGGTTAGAAAGCAGCCTCTTCCTTCTGTTTTCGACTTCTCGAAATTATTTAAGACTATGCTAAATATGAAGCATTACTCTGCTGTTGTTTCTCTTTTTCGAGAAATGCAGAAATTGGTTATCCAGATTGATGGGTTCATCTTGAGTATCGTGATTAACAGTTATTGCTTGATGCATCATGTTGATTGTGCATTTTCGGTGTTAGCCATTTACTTGAAGAAAGGCATTCCGTTTGATGTTGTCACCTTTACCACCCTAATTAGGGGAATCTTTGCTGAAAATAAGGTCAAAGATGCAGTTGGCTTGTTCAAAAAGTTGGTGAGAGAGAAGATTTGTGAGCCTAATGAAGTCATGTATGCAACCGTCATGAATGCGCTCGGCAAAAGGGGTCATACTGAAAAAACTGTTAGTTTGCTCCGGTTAATGGAACAAGGAAGCACTAAGCCCGACATATTTAACTACAGCATTGTCATAGATTCCCTTTGCAAAGATAGAAATTTAGATGAGGCTATCAGCCTTTTCAACGAGATGAATAAGAAAGCATTTGTCCAAACATATTCACATTTAATTCATTGATTGATGGTTTGTGTAAGTTTGGTCAGTGGGAAAAGGTTAGGACTTTGTTCTCTGAGATGTTAAACCTTAATATTTATCCAGATGTCTACACCTTCAGTATGGTGATTGATGGACTGTGTAAAGAAGGGAAAGTTGAAGATGCCGAGGAAGTAATGAGACATATGAACGAAAAAAGTGTAGAGCCTAATATATTTACTTACACTGTGATAATGGATGGATATTGTTTGCGTGGTCAAATGGATAGAGCGAGGAGAATTTTCGATTTCATGATAGATAAGTGCATTGAGCCTGACATTATTAGCTACAACATACTAATAAATGGATATTGTAAGAAAAAGAAGTTGGATGAGGCCATGCAGTTGTTTCGTGAAATTTCTCGAAGGGATCAAAGCCTGATATTGTTACCTTCGATACTATATTGCATGGTCTGTTTGAAGTTGGAAGAATTGGCGATGTAAAAAAGTTCTTTGCTGAGATGCTGTCTATAGGGCATGTACCTAATTTATACACTCACTGCACTTTACTCGAGGGTTATTTTACGTATGGACTTATTGAAGAAGCTGTGTCACTTTTTAATGAGTTGGAAAGAAAGAGAGAAAATGCTGATATTGAATTTTACAATGTTGTCATTAATGGATTGTGCAAAAATGGTAAACTTGACAAAGCTCATGCTATTTTTGAGGCGCTTTCTTTAATTGGACTACTTTCAAATGTGAGAACATACACTATAATGATTAATAAATTCTGTCTAGAAGGGTTGTTGGATGAAGTTAAAGACATGCTAAGAAAAATGGAGGACAACGGTTGTTTGCCCGATGGTATCATTTACAATGTTATTGTTCAAGGATTTCTCAGGTGCAATAGAATTAGTGAAATGGCAATTCTTATGAAGGAAATGGCTGGAAGGGGCTTCTCATTTGATGCAACTACAATTGAGTTGTTGATAAACGTCATAAGAGAGAGTCCATCCGTCCTTGACATGATACCAGAGCTTCACTTGGAAAATAAGAATTGAGTTTTTATTTTGCTTGTTTTATTCGCCTATAGTATCACTATGATACAACTTCCGTTTATCCCTGCAAAGGTATGTCATCCAATGCAATTGCAGAAGCTGATAAAAGGCAATTAGAACGTTGCTTGAGCTTTCCAGGTACATCAATTTCGGTATTTTTATTGTTTTCCATTCTTCTTTATCTTGGAAATCAGATATTACTCCTCTGTTTGTTTAATAAATAATGTGAGTTTCCCTTATATGTACACATTATAAGTCTAGGAATATCATTTTCAGTGTTATCTTCATGTATTATCATTTTCTACTATTTGAATATAAATAACTGCCTGCAACTTAGAACTTGCTATTGTATGATGCATTGTGCTGATTGTGAATATTCGATGTTACCAATTTAATTGAAGAATAACATCGCATTTGATGTTGTAACTTTTAGCACCCTGTTATGGGAATCTTTGCTGAAAATAAGGTCAAAGAGGTAATTGAATTGTTTAAAAAGTTGGCGAGGGAGAATATGTGGAGCTAGTGATAAATATGAAGCATTACTCTGTTGTCGTTTCTCTTGTTGGAGAAATGCAGAAATTGGGTATCCCAATTAATCGAGTCATCCTAAATATCGTGATTAACAGTTATTGCCTGATGCATCGTGTTATTCTTGATTTTTAGTGTTAACCCATTTACTTGAAGAATGGCATCATTTAATGTTGTCATCTTTAACACCCTAATAAGGGGATTTTTTGCTGAAAATAAGGTCAACGATGCAGTTGAATTGTTCAAAAAGTTGGTGAGGGAGAAAAATTGTGAGCCCGATGAAGTCATGTATGCAATCACCATGAATGGGTTCAGCAAAAGTGGTCATACTCAAAAAAACCTCTGTTTAATGGAACAAGGGAACAATAAGT